GAACCTTCAACTAGTTGCTTAGGACTGTTGGAGTCAATCCATAAGTTTAGTGGTTAAAATCAATTCAATTTATCCTTTTCCAATTCTGGAGCTTACGAATCTCAGTTGAACCTCAGCCTACTAAAGTCAAGGTGTTTTTCTGTGAGCCCTGAGTGGAATGGAGGGTGCTCTTCCTTGCCTTTCCCAGCCGGCTCTTCCTGGCTGGTGCCCCATTCTCAGCATCTTGGAAATTTCTTGTTTCCCATCTCCTTCTGCTCATTTCTTTATCTCATGATCCTTAATCTAATCACACCTACAAAGTCCCTTTTGCTATATAAAGGAACAATCCCAGGTTCCAGGTATGAGGATGCACACATACTTGGGAGGCCCTTCTTCAACCTACTGGGAACCTCAAAAGAGTGATGCAGGAAAAGAAGGCAGACAGAAAAAAGGATATTTTATGATTCCATTTATACAAATGCTAGGAAATGTAACAAGGTGATCATAGCAGATGAATGGATGCCTCTGGAGGGGTTGGAACCGGAGGAGGGAGGAGGTACAAGAGGGGACCCAGATACTTAGAGGAGGTGGGTGTGTTCATTATCATGACTGTGGTCAAGGTTACCTGGATGTATAATAGCTCAAATCTTGCCTAAATGTACAGTTTGAATGCACACAATGAATTGCATGTCATTTATTGTATAGGAAATCTGTTAAAATTTTAGAATATAATACAAGCATCCTTTTGGATATGAAAACAAGCGCCTTCACAGGTGCCAGCCCCACCTGACAGTTTTTAAAGGCTTTAGCAGCGCAATAGGACTGCTCCCCTCTGTTCCTGGGTCTCTCAGTCTCTGCCCCCCTCTTGCTCTTCTCCTCTCTCTCTCTGTGAGTCTTGATCCTTCTTGTTCTCTAGCTGTATCTCCGTCTTATGTCCTGGTCTATCTTTCTTGTCCTCTTTATCTCTGAGTTTCTTCCTCTTTTGTCTCTGCCATCAATTCTCTCTCTCTCTCTCTCTCTCTCTCTCTCTCTCTCTCTCTCTCTCTCTCTCATTTTCAAACTGTATCTTTGAAACCTGGTTTCCTTAATCAAGACCCTAAATTTTCTTTAGAAATCCTTGATATTTTTTAGCTTTCATGAATTTTACTGTTGGAAGAACTGATTGGCGTATCTCAGTTGTACCAGCATACTTGGAAATTTCGCAATAGCTGAACTGCATGCTGACTTTTGCAATTAAAATTAAATGAAGTACGAATTGGTTTGCCGACACCACATTTCAAGTTTAAAGGCCGAGTGTGGCAAGTGGCTGCCCCATTGAACAATGTAGCTCAAACTTCTACATGACCTCTGGTAAGATTCTTGATCTGCCTGTGCTCTACTCAATCCATTGGCAAAATGGGGACAATAATGGTACCTCCCTTCAAGGGTGAGCATTCAATGGAAAGCACTTTTTTTTGCCTCCCAGTGAGTGTTTCCTGGGTGTGGAATGAGGACCATTTTGCAATCTAGTGCCACGTGGCCCAGCAAAGCAGAAGCAAGATACTGAGGTCCGGAAAGTCCACGGTGGCACCTCTCCAAGGTCAGGGGTGAACAGACTGCACTCTGTTGCTTCCTTCTTCCTGGGTCAGAGGAGGCTGGGGTGAGGCTGGGCCCAGCAGCTTGGACTTTCAGACTCACATAGAGCACTGGTTTCACCTCACCCTGGTGCCACCCCATCTCTTCTTCCAGGCTCCTGGTGGTGGCAAGTGGTTGGTTTTGCATTGGAAAGCAAGATGTAAGAAAGGATCGAGAAAGAAACAGATGGGCAGATGTGGACACACTAATTCTCATGTTGAGTAATTAGGGCCTGATCTCCTGCTGGGGACAGGGAGAGTACAGGTGCGCCATGATGATGTAGACAGAGCCAAGCACATTGGACATCATTCACACTGGAGCCAACATTGTGCTCCTAGAGCTCAGAGATTAGAAAAGAACAGATACAGAGTGAGAGGGATGTGGGAGGGGCAGGGAGGCCCACCAGGGGAAGATGAAAGTACTCAGAAACAGGGAGACAAGTGTCCAGCTCCGAGAGACACAGGGGTCCAGAGCTCTCTACGGTTATGTCCCGATGTCCTAGGTCACATCCCTGCCTGGGTCTCACCCATTATGTCTTTCCCATCCTCTCTCTGTTTCTCTCATCATCTCGGTGCCTATGGTTATCCCAGAAGAGGAGAAGTGAAGGAGAAAGACACTGAGCACTTGCAGACCACCACAAAGGCAGAGACCAGGACATACACACAACACACACACATGCGCACACACATATAAACAAGACCAGCACAAACAGACACACACAGAAGCACACAACACAACACCACACAAGTACAAACAGGGCATCTTGGGGCCAAGGTGAAGACACAGTGGTCAGACCAACCTTCCCAAAGAAATAACCACACAATAGAGAACTTGTTCTAAAAACCGTTTTCAAGGCACGGGGCACCAGGCAATAAAGTCAGTGTTCCCTGAGGGATGGCAACCAAGGACAGGAACCCATAAATGTCTCAGTTAGTGGCCTTGACACTTACCATTTATAAAGCTGATTCATAAAAATTTTCCAAAAATAGCTAAGAGTTATTCAATAGCTGAATTGAGTATCAACTTTTAAAGTTAAAATCAAATTTAAATTTGATGGAGCATGTAAACTTGAAGGTGTTTGAGGCCCTGTGTGGCAAGCTGGTATCATATTGGATGATGTAGCTCTCACCCACTGGGCCATCTTGAGGGAGACTCTCAACTTCTTTTTTCAGGCTTTTCAATAAAATGGGGATGACAATAATATCTCCCTCAAAGCATAAAGATTCAGTGAATTTCTCTGTAAGAACAAAAATCACTTCATGCACCCTTCACCAGGAAGTCCTGGGCTGGCATGGTAACCCAGGCTCGGCGCCAGATGACTCAGCACAGGGGAGCAAGGTTCTAAGGTCAGGAAAGTCTATGTTTGCACCTCTCCAATATCAGAAAAGCAAATTTCCACCCCTGGAAAACACATTATGTTTTTCTGTCCTCTCATCATTCATTGGTCAATGGATTGTGACTCAGATGTCAGGGTCAGGGTCCTGGGTCTGGCAAAATGTCTGCTTAACTGTGTTGCCTCATCACAGCGAGAAGCTTCTGGAAAGCAGTGGAAGCAATGAGGAGAAGGGAGATCCTGCAGAATGTGAGGAGATCTTTGCCAGCTACTCTTCTGGAAGAGGATTAATATTCAGATTATTCAAAGAACTAAAACAATCCCTTAACATTAAAAAATTTTTTACAAAGCCCAGCCAGGCATGGTGGCCCATGCCTGTAATCTCAGCAGCTTGGTAGGCTGAATCAGGAGGACACAAGTTTAACGCCAGTCTCAGCAACTTTGCAAGGCTATGAACAACATGGCAAGAACCTTTCCCAAAAAAAAAAAAAAAAGGGCTGGGGGTGTAGCTCAGTGGTAAAGTGCCTCTAGGTTAAATTTCCAAAGCATCACCCCTTGCCCTGCCAAACCAAAATAAAAACAAAAACAACCCCCAAATAAAAAACAAACCCCGAGAAATAACCCATTCAATAAATGAGTGAATGAACTGAACAGACCCTTCTCAAATGAAGACACACAAATGGCTACAATTGTATGAAAAAAATGTTCATGATCTTTAGCTTTCAGAGAAATGCAAATCAAAACTACAGTGATATTTCATCTCACTCTCGTTGAATAGCAGTCATCAAGAATACAAATAAGAATAAATGATGGCAAGAGTACAGGGGAAAAGACTCTCTCATAAGTGGTGGTAGGACTGTCCATTAGTACAAGTACATGGAAATCAATGTTGAAGTTGCTTTGAAGACTAGGAATGGAACCACCATACGACCCAGTTCTTCCACTCCTCAGTATTTTATCCAAAAGAATCAAAGTCAGGATATTAGAGTGACATATGCATACCCAGGTTATTACAGTAAAATTCACAATAGCTATGTTACAGCCTGGATGTCGGTCAATAGATGAATGGATAAAGAAAATGTGGTCTATTACAATGTCAAGTTTTACTCAGCCGTAGAGAAGAACTAAGTTCTATCATTTGCAGGAAAATGGGTGGAACTTGAGAGCACAATGTTAAGTGAGATAAATGAGACTCAGAAGGAAATGGGTTGTGTTTTCTCTCATATGTGGAAACTAGAGAGGGAGAGAGGGGTGAAGACTGAAGGGAAGCCATTGGGATACAGGAAGGGGACTGGGAGGGAGGAGGAGCAGGAAAGAGGACTTACTTGAGAGGAATATCAACCATGTTACTTTACATGCACGTAGGAATGAGTCACAACGAAGTCCACCATTCTGTATAATTAATATGAACCAATAAATAACAATTTTTTAATAGAACAATGCTGCCTCATCCCCTCTCACTCTTCCCACACTCCCCCTTAAAGAGAAGGAGGTGCGTTTACTTTATTTTATGATTGCGTTTACTTTATTTATGATTCAGACCCAGGGATCCCACCCAGGACTAGGCAAGTGCTGCACCACTGAGCTACGTCCCTGTCCTGGGAGGACCCCTTAAAACAGAGAGGTAGAGAGCAGGCCCAGGCCAACATGGGGTGCAGGGGATGGAAACCTTTACTCTCATATTTGGCAAATATGGACTGACCACACCAGAAGCCACATGGGTGAAGGCTCCCAGCAAAGGAGAGATAGACTGGAGCAGAGTGGCCAGAGAAACCTGGAGCCATCTTATGGTGTGAATGTTCCCGCCAAAGGTTGTGCTGAATTTGTTGCCACCTTGACAGTCTTAAGAGATTGCAGCTTTTGGATCTATACGGAGCAGCATATAGAACGCATCCATAGCAAACTCGGGGATACCTGAAACTTTGGATAGTGCTGAACCCTGTAGGCACTTTGATTTACAAATATCTGTATTGAAGTTTAATTAGCAAGTTAGGCTCAGGAGGAGATTAACGAAAGTAGCATATAGAAAAACATAACATGATTATAATAATAGACTGTAATGAAAGTTATGAGTATGGCCTTTCTCTCAAAATATCCCACTGTACTGTGCTCACCCTGTACTGTGACCACCAGCACCACTCTGTGCTACGGCTTCCTGCTCATGCTCAAGTACCCTCACGTGGCAGGTGGGCCCGGGAGAGCATGTGGGGCTTGGGTCCTCCATGGATGAGAGGCAACCTGACCTCTGTTTCAGGAGCTCTGGGTGGTCTCCCTCTGAGCCAGTGCTGTGGGCCGGTGGTGAATGTAGACTCTGATGACTTGTTCTTTCAAAGTTTTCTGTCATCCTTCATTTATTTATCCAACCTTTTATTGATTCATGTGCATGGACACTCACTGATTCTTTCATTGAAGATTCATCCAAGGACATTCACCATTCTTCATTTATGAGTCAACTCATTCATGAGTTGACACTCCGACAGTGAGTGAACTCGTTGTTATTGATTCATGGCTCATTCATTGGCGTGGATCCACCCATCCTTCCCTGAACTAGATCTCATTCCTTAGTCATTCCATCAAATAGTGTTCAGTCCATCCTTCTTGCATGAAGTAAATATTTCATTTATTCATCCATCATTTATTTATCCTTTAATCTATGCATTCATTTTCTCCATTATTTATGCATACCTCCACTAATTATTCATCTATTACTTCATAAATCAAGCATTCATGTGATTAGTGATTCAAAAGGTTTATTTTTTGTCCAAGAACCATTTATTAATCGGTTTATTAATTGATCCACCTTGATAAGTTGAATACATCATCCATTCATTTGTTTGCTCATTCATTTATTAATCTTCACATTCAGGCATTGATTTATTATTGATAGGATTGATGTAGGTGGCCATTTCTTTATCTAGTTGTTCGTGGATTCACCACTGGTCTTTTCCACTCTTCTATTCCTGAGGACCTAACACAGTGCTTCACCTGTAATATAGTCAGGATAAATATTAGATCATTTTTTATTCATCTTAGAGGGATGGGTTTGACAGGTTTTTAGCTTGGAGTCCTTCATCTAAAATTGCATGTGAAATCATGGTGTGTGTGTGTGTGTGTGTGCGTGTGCATGGGGGTACCTGTGCACGGGGGAGATGACTTATCACATTCATTAGAATTCAAGCGGTGAGAGTTCTGGTTGAGTTTCCCTCTTCCCATCCCCCAGCTGACTGCTCTGAGGATATCAATGATCTGAGCCTTGATGTAGGAATTTTGTGACTCAGTAGTCCACAGAGAACAGTGTGGCTGCTGAAACAGAGCTCATTGGTCCCCTTTCTGTGCAGAAAGAGTCAAAGAGGAGATTGCACAGGTGATTGGCTCACACAGGCCACCTGCCCTCGATGATCACTCCAAAATGCCATACACGGAGGCAGTCATCCACGAGATTCAGAGATTTGGAGATCTCCTCCCCATTGGTGTGCCCCACATAGTCACTAAAGACACTGTCTTCCGAGGGTACCTCATCCCCAAGGTGAGCCCAGCTGGGTTTGGGTCTGCTCTCTGTGGGCGTCCTTGATTCACTTAATCCCTAGTTTCAACCTCCTGTGCGTTTCTCGGCAGGTCCCCTGGTTTTCGTTTTTGTTTGTTTTATCACTTTACTTATTTTTCGTGGGGCCAGGAATGGCACTGTCTCTTGATCTTTCAACCTTTCCTCAGAACACTGAAGTGTACCCCATCCTGAGCTCTGCTCTCCACGACCCGCATTACTTTAAAGAACCAGACACCTTCAACCCTGACCACTTTCTGGATGCCAACGGGGCCCTGAAGAAGAATGAAGCTTTTATCCCCTTCTCGGCAGGTAGGCTGGACCTGGGATCCCTTCAAAGACACCAGGGGCAGGTCCCATCTGCTCCTCGAGACAATGATAGGTCTCTGTTTTGTGAGCGCTCAGCATATTCCAGTTGCTTTACCTGTACTGTCCCATTCCATCTTCACTACCACCCTGCCAGGAGACTTGAGAAGCGACATTACGTTCCAAGGCTCGCCTTGATAAGCAGGACCTTGGGCAAATGTTGGGAAATCCCTAGACCTGAGCAAAGTCGTTTTCCTAAAAATCAACAACCAAAAAGTATTTATTAGCATGAGTCCAAGCCCAGTGCTTACTAAAGGGCTAAGATAATGCAGCTAAAAACTCAGAGAGGATTCATCCCTAGTCTATTGCCTCCATATGTCCCAGTTATCCCACTCCTTGGTTTTCATCCAGAAGAACTAAAATCAGCATACTATAGCTATAAATGCATACCAATGTTTATAATGACAGAATTCACAATAGCTATGTTATGGAACCAGCCTTGGTGTCTGTCAGTAGATAAAGGGATAAAGAAAATGTGGTATAGTTGCAAGGCATGACTAATCCCAGCAGCTTGGGAGGCTGAGGCAGGAGGATTGCAAGTTCAAAGCCAGTTTCAGCAACTTAGCAAGGTCCTAACTAACTCCATGAAACGCTTTCTGTAAATAAAATATAAAAAAGGGCTGGGAATATGGCTTGGTGGCTAAGCACCCCTGAGTTCAATGTTCAATACCTGGTAACAAAAAAATAAATAAATAAAGGAAAATGTGGTGTGTGTGTGTGTGTGTGTGTGTGTGTGTGTGTGTGTGTGTGTATTCATCCATACAGAAGAATGAAATAATATCATTTGCTGGTAATGGATAAATGGTGAATTGGAGAACATCATGCTACATGAAAGAAGCCAGAAAGTCAAGGGTGAAATGTTTCTTTCATATGTGGAAACTACAGGAAAAAAAGGAATAAAAAGTGATTTCATGAAAACAGAAGTGAGACCAGTAGAGCAGAGGAAGGGGATCCAGGCAGAAGGCAAAGGAGAAGGAATAAAACTGACCAAGTTATGCTCTGTGCATGTACAAACTCACAAACCCCACTTTTATCTATAATTATAATACAACAATTAAAAAATAAATAGAATAAAGAAGAGTAAAGAGGAGGAAGGTGGTCAGGGGGAGGGAGGATGGAGGTATAGAGAAGTCCTGGGAACCAAGATCGTACTGTGCATGTATAAATATGTCACAATGAATCTATGATGTCTAATTATAATGCATCAATAAATGCGTAAAAAAATCCAGATCATGTACAGACACAATTCCTGCTCCAGGAAGCTTATAGTCCACAGTTAATTTTCATCAAATTGTCCCCAAATAATGATCTTATTAAATTATTTAATGCCTGACACTTAGAACCGCCTGGCACAAAGTCAGTGATGGGCACTTACTGTCATTAATAATCTGGCGTTATTTGGGAGCACAAAGTAGTGTTTGACTCTAGCTGGGCGCGGTGGCACAAGCTGGAAATTCATCATTTCTGTCTCCCAGGGTGGCCCCCTGTCTCCAAGTGTCTCTCCTCCCGTCCTTCAACCAAAGCTGGCAATGGAAACGCCTCACACTTGGCATTTTGTGGACACGCACAGATCAAAACGGATGCTGGCAGAAGAGCATCTGGAGGCCACACCACAACATCACCTTGAAACTGGGAATCGCTGTGTCCATCTCTGTTTCCCTGGCTTCTGTCTTTCTGAGGGCCTCTTTGGTTCATCGCTCTGTCCCCAGTGCCTAGAAGAGAGCCTGGCACATAATAGGTGCTCAACAAATGCTGGTCAAATGAATAAATGAGTGACCACCTTGCCATGTCCCTTCCTGTCTCTCACTCTCATCTTTCCTGGTTTATCCTTCTGCCACCCTCAGCCTCCAACTCTGAGTCTCTGTGTCTTTCCCTGTGGCAACTCTGCATCCACTGAGCACGAGCAAAGTGCCCTGTTCCTTCAGCGTAGGTACCCACAGCGTCCAGATGAGGACACTTGGGGCTAAGCTGAGCAGGCATTTGCCAAGTGTCAGAACAACCGAGGAACAGCCCAGCTGTGGGGGGAACTCAAGCCTGACTCTAAAAATCAGTGCTTCGTTCTAACTCGTAAGCACTTCTCAGAGTGTGCCCATGTCTCTGAGAGGGGAAGCAGAGTAAAGTGGGTACAATAGCAGGCACTCAGGTTAGACCGCCTGGGTCTGACTCCTCGTCTGTAGCTGCCCCAGTGAGGCTCGGACAGGTCTCCAGCTCTGTGCTTCACTCCCTCCTTCCTTGACACGGGGGACGACAGCAGCACCTTCCTTGAAAGGTGGGGACTCAGTGAATTTCTTGTGGAAAGCCCTTCACTGCTTCCTGGGGCCGGAAAGAGGATCCAAGCTCAATGCCACAAGAGCCAGCGCAGCAGGAGCAAGGTCCTGAGGTCAGGAAAGTCCATGGTGGCACCTCTCCCAGGTCAGGAGCAAACAGGGCGCACTGTGCTGCTCCCCCCTCCTGGGTCAGGGGGGACAGGGCGTGGCCGCTTGGACTTTGAGATTCACACTGAGCACCGCCTTCAGCTGAGCCTCATGCCCGGGGTGACTCAGCTGTCCCCACTCCCTAGACCAGGTTCTTTGGTGGTGGCAAGCGGTTGGTTTGGTTTTGCAGGAAAAATGTCGACTCCCTATTTTGGAAGAGAGAGGAGGGCAGAGGGGGTCCTCTTCATTCTCGTATTAATTAGGATCTGACCCCTGTCTGGGACAGGAAGGGGGCAGATTCACACAATGGAGACCATCAATCACCCTGGACCCAACTCTGTGCTCCCAGAGCTCAGAGAGCAGGAAAGGACAGATACAGAGCAAGAGGGAGAGAAGGAGGGAGGAGAAAGATGGGGCGGGGGAGAGGAGTGTCCAGCCAAGTCAGAGAGGCACAGGACTGCAAGAGACAGGCCTCTCAAATGGCTGTGTCCTGATGTCCCCAGGTCACAGTCTCACTGCCTCCCCCACCTCTACCACCCCTGCTCTGACTCTCACCTCCTACGTCTTTCCCATCCTCTCTCTGTCCCTCTCATCATCTCTGTGTCTGTGGCTGCCCCAGAAGAGGAGAAGTGGAGGAGAAAGAAACGGATCATCAGCAGAGACCAGGACACACACACACACACACACACACACACACACACACACACACGACAGGCACAGGCAACACAGAGAGGAGCACTCATCACCCCTCCACACAAGTGCAAATGAATGGTGTCTTATGGCCAAGACAAGCCACAGTGAGGGACTGAGGGACCCTCCTTCCCACAGAAACAACCACAGAATGAAAAACACGTGTGGAAACAAACCAGGGTTCAAGGCACAGGGCGTCAGGCAATAAGGTCAGGGATCCCTGAGGGATGGCCACAAAAGAGAGGACCCCTACAACCGCCTCAGGTAGTGGCCTTTGTCTCCAAGCTGCAGTGCAGGAAGGAGGAACCCAGGGGGGCCCAAGGTACTCCCTGGTGGAGAGTCTTCCTGGACCAAGGCAGCTGAGTTCACAGGACGGGGTGCAGGGTTGGAGCTGCACGGGGAGGGATGGTGAGACCTTCAGAGGGTCCTGTAGAGGGTGTAGCTGACAACTGCTGGGGGCATGTGAGGAGGTCACCTTAGGTGAGGGGTGACCCCTGGAGAGGACTGGAGGAAGCTGTGCCAGTTGCTCACTCAGGGCCAGGATGATGTCTGTTGCCATCAGCCAGACTGAACAAAGTGCACAATTTATGGGGCAGTGGGACGCAGGACAGTCTTGCCTGGTGATTGAGAATAATTATGATTGCAGACTAAACATTTATCAAAACTCACAGAACAAATCCAAAACACAAAAGGTGGATGTATATTACCAAGTAACTTATCTTCACCTTAGAACAAAGGTCTAGAATATTTATATGCCTACAAATATCCAGATCCTAAGATAAAATTCACAGTAGCTAAAATTCAACAAAAATTATCTTGTATGCAAAGAAACAGCAAAATATGGGCCCAAATGAGGAGAAAATGAATTAGTTAAAATCAATACAGGACAGGGCACAGTAGTACATTCCTGTAATCCTAGCAACTCCAGAGGCTGAGTCAGAAGGATTACAAGTTTCGGGACATTCTCAGCAGCTTAGCAAGTCTCAAGCAACTTAGCAAGATGCTGTCTCAAATTGAGAAATAAAAATGGCTGGGGATATGGTTCAGAGATAAAGTGCCTCTAGGTTCAATCTTCAGTACTAAAACAACCAACAACAACAACAACAACAAATCCAAACAATAAAAATGATTCAGATGTTACAAGTAGCAGATAAAACATTAAAACAGCTCTTATAACTTTTTCTTTTGTAATTTCTCTCTCTCTCTCTTTCTTTTTTTTCTGGTGATGCTGGGGATTAAACCCAGGGCTTTGTGTATGCAAGGCAAGCACTCTACCAACTGATCTATATCCCCAGCCCCTCCTTTTTTTTGTAATTTCAGAGTTATATAGAAATACAGAAGACTTAAGACAAACTTCTAGAGATGAAAACTCTAGTAAATAAGCTGGAAAATGTACTAGATGATATTTATAGCTGATTAAACATGGCTGAAGAAAAGATTAATGAACTTGATTACATAGCATTAGAAAATTTTCTAAGCAAAATGGAGAGAAAAGAGAATTAAAATAAACAAAGCTCAAGTGAGATCTGAGATAACATCAGATTGCCTCACATATGTGCAAACTGAATTCCCCTAAGAAAGAAGAGAGAGGTAGAGACAGAAAAATATTTGAAGACATGAAGGCTCAAAATTTTCCAAGCTTGGTGAAAAGTATAAATTCATAGATACTCTAATATTAAGGCACCTCATGTATAAGAGACATGAAAAATTTCACCAACATGCATAATAATTGAAATTCTCAAAATCAGTGTGAAAAACTTAGCCACATTATGTAAAGAAAAATAAAATAAGGATAAGAGATTTCTCATCAGATATAGGAAAAGAGGAAAAACAGTGGAACAT